ATACTTGGGCAGATCATATAATATTTATAGATATGCTGTGTTTTTGATTGGAGCGTAACTTATTTTACTAGTTGATATGCTTCTTGAATTCAAGCATAATCCATACCTGGTTTACAATTTTCGTTTAATTGGATGATGACTGCTGCTGTGTTGGCATGTTGTCTTAATGTATTTTAATTTTGACATTTGATTAGTTTGGTATCTTTCTTTCCCTTCTCATCCTCAATTTTTATATCATTTCTCCTTTCAACTACTATTATCACTATAGTTTTGTTTGGAGTATTCTCGTAGAGATGTTATCATTATAGCATCTGCTATTTCGCGACAAACATCATTACTTGACCCATGATAATATGTATCTGATGATCCGCAAATATGTAACTGCATATTAACGAAGACTTAATTGGGGTGTCATTTGGAGGTTTGAATAAGCTTATTCGAGCGTATTGTCTGTCTTTCATAGTCATAAGGTGAACCTTCCCTAGTTTTGGACACTTATGAACATGAAAGTTTAACGATTAAGGATATTGTTGTTCTTTGATAGCAGTGATTAACATTTTGAAGATTGGTAAAATTTAACGGTAGTTTAAGTTTACCCTGTATATTATCGTCGGAATTTCGAGTTTTATTTTGTTTTCTTTATATTTTAGATTCTGTCCAGATTGAACAGAAGAAAAAGCCAGAAATGGTAGTGCAAACGGCACATTCTGATTTGCGTAAGACCGATATTGAAACGTTAAAAGATGAACTACGTCGGAATACACCGTCTGCACACATATCAAATACCAGTTTTCAGCAGGTATACCCTTGTTTTACACGTAAGTAAGTGCTTGTAGCAAATTTACTACAATTTTGTCCTTGAATTTTTTGCTTTGCGTTTGAAAAGACTTTTCAGTGAAATGAAAGATGGAATAGTTCGATACGTAAAATTTTTTCTCTCATTTAACGACGTGATTTATACATTCTAAGGCATATAAAAGCCTTTTTTCTGATTTGCATCGGGAATGAAAATGTAACGTTAACAAAAAAAGTAGGATCACTTAGTAAAATATCCCAACTAATTCTTGTTTTATTGAAATTACACATATTCTCTCTGATTGATAATACAGTTATTGTAGCAATTTTGAAACTTATATTTGTTTTTATCGTTGCACATTTAATTTAAAGAAATGAACAGTTAATGAGATGCAAAATTAGTTGGAAATTTTATGTTGAGAGTACACAGATTTTATAGTCTTGTTCAAGAAATGTGAAATCTTGTGTTTAATAAAATTTTTTCTTAGTTTTTATTGCTCAGGTTCCGGATGTTAATCGATCGTTGACCTCACCATGTTCACTCCCCGATCAGCGTAGGATACCTCATTCAACAACGGTTGATAACAAGCTGCTTCCAACTCCACCTGCGTATACACCTTCCCCGTTAAACGCTATGGCAGCAGCTGCTGCAACTGGGAATCTCCCAGCAGCGATCGCTGCTGCAGCTGCCGCACAAACTGCAAATCCATTCCTTCTTGCTGCTGCACTAGGATTACAACAACAGCAACAGCCACAAAATGCATCGCCGACATTTCCGTGGATCAGTAACGCACAGTCATTTACAGCGATGTTGCCCTATATTCAGCATTTACAAGCTCAGGTGCAGCAACAAGCGCAAGCACAGGTAATACTTCGTTACCTGACTAGATGATCTAATAATTGTTCCATCTCATTCAGTCTGTGGCTTACGTTAGGTCCTTCAAATTCTCATCGTGTGACTTTCACCTTTTTATCATTTCAGGTTGCATTGGCACAGCAAATAGCAGCACAGCAAGCTGCAAATCTGCATCAACAATTCAAAACGATTGCGGCAGCGGCAGCTGCTGCTCATACTTCATTGATATCCCAACAACAACAGCAGCAACAACAACCGCAGCCACAATCACATTGGTTGTCTCCTCCGCCATCTGTTCCTCCTCAAATTTCGGCCATAAGGCAGACAACAACCTGCCTATCACCATTACTTCCAGCAGCTGCTGAATCAACCTCCTCACTGTTGGAATTTACCGAGTTGAATCCACGACCTCATCCCGAACCGCAACCACCCTCACCTCCAGCATCATCCAGTTCATCGTTATACAATGATGAGAAACAGCAACAGCAACAGCAATTTTTATTCGATGAAGATCTAATGATCGATTCATTGATGGAGGAACGAAAAGATTTATCCGAAAAGGAAAGTATCGCTGTCGCTGTTTTAGCTGGTATGGCTGCTTGTCAACGATAGACAAAATGGAAATATTTTCCTGCTTCAGTTTCTTGTTATCCTTTTAATCATATAATCATCTGACATGGATACACGCAACATTTTAACACGTTTAAATGTATTATGAAATTCCATGTCTGATAGTTTTTATCATTGTAAAATTATATATTTTTCGAATTTAATTTTTCGATCATTCCACATATTAAAATTTGAACAACGTTGTTAAATTTAAACCATGCTGAAATCTCAAATGTTAATTTGGACTGATTTTCTTTCTTTTCCCCTCCCCCTCCCTCCCCTCCCTCTATCATAAAAGGTATTTTTATTTGTATTCAGTCATCAATACTATATGACTGAACATTTCCTTACATCCATTAGCTTATATATATATATATATTAAAATAAAATAGCAGAAAATATTGTGAATGAAAATGTTACGATATAATGATATGATAATGATTATTGATGTATGTTTTATATAATATAAAATATACAAAACATTTATTGATTACCTTAATGTGTTATTGTTTGTTTTACTCATTGATCTTTAATATCGAAAAACGGTTTCCATTATATTTCGCATATGTTTTCGTTTTCGTTTTCCTTCCTTTTTCTTTGGATGAGTTTTTCCTTTTTTTATTTTCTATCCTTTTTTTTTCTTTTGCTTTGTAACATTAAATGCTTAGAAAAAAAAAAAAAAAAATGGTGCGCGAACGGCAACGGTCATTGTACATATACATAGTTGACCGTTTCATGTTGGTTTCGGGTTTTCTTTATTTTCATTTTCATTCGATTCATTTATTTTGTGTAACTACATCTTCTAACGTTGCCCATTATTGAGCAGAATGACATGAGATGATGATGATGATGATGATGGAATGAAATGAATGAGGATGAGGAATCAAATTATAAAAAATTGTGATCAAATTTCTTGTATATTTTTAGATGAATGATTTTAGAGGATAAGCATTTTGGGGATATAAACATTTAAAAGTTATCATTACATAGGTTGTAAGTGAATAAAATGTATTTGAATTGTGAATTTTAATCTTTGCTTTGGCTTTTCAAGAAAATACCGGGAATGTTGTGGTATTGTTGTTAATTAAAGTTTTTTTTTTCCCCCTCTCTTCTTTGAAGAGCCTGGAAGTTCTATGATGACTTGACCTAAAAGAAGAAGAAGAGATTGTTATCGGAATAGATAATAAATTTAAATTGGTTAATTTGTGTAATGAAATTTCATCTTTAGCAAAAAAAAAGAAAAAGGAAGTGGTTGTTTAAATAATTCGATAATTCATAAGAATATGGTAATTATGAGATGTAAAAAAGAAAAAAAAGAATGAAAAAGATATGAAAACAAATAAGGACGATAGAAATTTCTTGGAAAAAAAATTTGTTAGAAGTAATAATAACGATGAAAATATTGTCTATTGCTTTTATTCATTGTTTAGTACTTTCTTGTATTTCTTCTTTTTTTTTTTTGTTAAATTTTGTTATTCAAATTTCGAATACAAAAGGAAAAAATAAGAAAGGAGGAGTTTCGTGAATTTGTTGTAGTGATGATAATTTTGTCATTGTAACTACTACTTTTCATTTTCTCTTTTTTTTTCTTTTTTTTTTTTTTTTGGTTGTATTTAATACGGTATTCGAAATTTCTCCCTTTTTTCTCGTATCCAAGTTCTTCTTTTCTTTTCCTTTTTCAAGTTTTCAATTGTTTCGATTGTTTTTTTTTTTCTCTCTTTTCAAGTTATATGAAAATATAAAATTTTAGAGTACTCTTGAAAAAAATGCTATATACATAATACATTACATGCATATAAATATGCAAAAAAAAAGAAAAAAGAAAGAAAAGGAAAAAAAAAGCATTAAATGAAATAAAATGAAGTTTATTATGGGTTATCATCTCGAAAATATATTTGTATATTTTGGGAGGATTTACGTGTTTTACGTATAATACGTGGTAAAGGATATTAGAAATACTGATAGGGATGAATTGATGAGGATGATAGGGTGAATTTAATTTTATCAAGATTTCTGATATGTAATGTTTGGTCTAACTTTTTTTTTTTGTCCTATAATTGTTTAATTTATGATAGGTAATTAAGTGATGGAATGTTAAAATTGGTCTTTTAGTACTTTTTAGGATTTTAGTTTAGTTTTGCTTATTCTATTCGAATTCATTTTAAGTAAAAATGAAAATAAGAATTAGTTTAGGTTTGTTTACAATTGTGACAAAATAATAAGTAAAGTGAATAAATGATTGGATAAGGATAATATGGATAATGTCTAAGTAGAAAAAAAAAAAAGGGAAGAAATATAAGATTTTTCCGCAACATGAATATCACAATGTATGATATATTGTGAATCTAAAATTGTATCAAGATAAGTATCATTGGAAAATTTACTTAAATTCATTGATATTAGTAGTAATAATTGCCATTAGTAATGGTCGTTTTTTTT